CATGAATTAAAAACATAATGTCTTCCATTATATTTGAGGCAGAAGACTAGTTTAATAGGTGGAGGATAGGTTGTGTGACATATATGATTCTATCTTAAAACTAAGACTGTATCTGTACTATGTATGTAATATGAATTCTGTTATAGCTCCATCACATGAAATTCTAGGATCTATAATTTGGTGAGGCACTTAGAATTCTCTGCTACAGAGCTGCTCTAGTGCTGTATTTCAGGACAGTGAACTAGAGATTTCTGGAAGAAAATTCTAAATACTTCTGTTGTTGTTAACTGCCTTCAAGTTATACAATTGTGGGAGTGGGATAGACAACCAAAGATATGCTTTATAACCTGAAACTTTAATTTCACTCTGTATTGCATCTGAAGAAGTGGGTTTATATACAAAAGCTCATGCTAAAATAAAAATCAGTTAATCTTACAGGTGTTGCCACATTCTTTTTTTCTTCCTTTCCCTACATCCTTTTTCATTCTGCAAGAGACTAACATGGCTGCTTCTTTGAAATTTTGGACAAGTCACCCTCTCTCACCCTCAGAGGAAGGCAGTAATAAAGACATTCCTGGACTGCATCAGTTCACACTGGAGCGTATGCATTTGTTTGTAGGATATCTGAAGTGTTATAAACAAGACATAGTGACAAGAGAAATCTCTTGGTTTTTTTCCCTTTCCCCCATATATTGCATCTGAATGGGGATGTTCCATTTGACTATCACGTTTATCAATCACTGATATATATGTCATTTGTAAATGTGTCAGATGTGTGAAATCATACGGCACTGCTACATTTTGATTTGATAAAGCCTATACAGGATGTATTTTGTGCAAAGAAAATTTTACCAGTTCACCTGCATGCACTGTGCTATCCAAAATACTAGGGTCCCAGGAAGGCACCCACAATTGACTACAGTGGGGGGAATAGATTTAGCTCAATAGGAAGCAGCGAGGGGGCTTTAGGTAACTCTAAAAAAGCCAGGATTTCAGCCTATGTATAACAGTTCCAAACCCAGAATTCTAGACAGCAGATTAGTTAGTTTATTTGTAACAACTAGGGGAAATCAACTTTCACTCAAAGGCACTCTCTCTCTCTCTCTCTTTCTCTTTCTCTCTGTCTCACACACATGAACTAATGATATAAAAAGTGATGGTTGATAGTGATTTCAGGGTGTTTTATGTTACCAGATTCAGGCAAAGAGATGAAGTGGATGATTCTGGCTCAGCACACAGCTGGGACCTTGTGCTGAGGAGTCAATAGAGAAATGGACAGAGTGTCTGTCTGTGTACAGCTGAGACTGAATTGGGGCTACCCCAAACAGGAATATTTATAGGGAGAAATGGGACCTGAGGCAGTTTCCCAGGAGCTGAAAGGATTTATCCAGGAGAAGAATGGCCATGGTTTGGGGAAAATGGCAGGGCAGTCACTCTAGATGTTTCACACAAAAAGGTGTCATCTCCAGAGGGAAGTTCCTTTTGATTCCTTCTTTTGGAAAGTACTGATGCATTGCCCTCCATCACATAATTGTGTGAAGGGATTATGCAGATTCCAGCCTAAAAAGATCTATCCTGTCTATATGCACTACAGTTGCCTCTCCCGATTCGGGGGGATCCATTCTAGACCGCCCCATGAAAATGGCAGCTCACAACTATTTAAGCCCCATTTAAAGTAATGGCATGCACACAGGGCTGTGCGCGTGCATACACAGCCATTTAAAATAAATCCTTGTCCCTCCCCATGAAGAGCGAGACCGTGGACTCCAAGTCCACAAATGGGGAGGCACAATTGTAGTGCCCCCAAGCCAAGTTTGCTGGATCTCCATATCTGGTCAGGCTATTGTTCTTGCATCAGGGCACCTGTGGTGGCTCCATGACAAAACATGCCTTTTAATATCAAGCTGATATCAAAGGTCAACTGGGGTGATGGAGGACTCATCCTTGTGCTAAAAACTGTCATGAAATTTCATTTGATAACCTTCACTTCCAAATAATGGGCATATGAGAGAACTTTTTCTTTAGCCATACTGTTCACGTAATTTTTTTTAAAGGGAAAGAAAAGGTAGTCTTGTGACACCATTAAGACTATCAAATTGATTTCAGTTCAGGCTTTTAATAATAATTTTTTCATTGTAAATAATTTACATTTGTTATAATTTTTACAATTATAGATTTATATATATTATTTTATACCTTTATATTGCTTCTCCATGCCTAATAATTTATTTCTCACTGCCAATGAATAGAGTTTTTCATACTTTAAATCTGGATTGTAAGCATCCGTATTCCCATAGCAGTGGAAAATTCCTGGGCCCAAGTCCATGAAGAAACAGTCCTTGCCCACTGACTACGTGACAGTAGTCCTGTCTCTCCAGCTCTTTGTGAGCTCTTGAGTTATCTTGCAAATGGCTGATAGGCTGGTGCTCTGTTGTATCTCATTCTCTCCCTGCAGTAGAGGTAGAGAGCACAAGTCCTAATAAATTTCAATAAACAAAAGGAAGAGCTATAATTTTTTTTATCAACTGTGAGAAAGAGCCAGTGTGGTTCATTTGTTAGAATAAGACCTGGAGACCAGCTGAAATGTCTATTTAGCCGCAACATTGAATGATCTTGGACCATGCATACTCCTTAAACTTCCCTAGGCTCTGTAAATCCTTTCCCAGGAAAGCCAGAATGGCCCCCTCCTTGCTGACCTTCCCTCAACAAGCAATGCCTTTTTGATTTCAACAGGCTTTTAGAACTGAAGGTTTTGAAAGAAAGTGGCTTTTAGAAAGACTTTTAGAGTGGAAAGGTTTTTTTTAAAGAGGGTACTGGATTTTTCTATTATTTTTTTAAATTGGTTGTTACTATTTTTAATTGTTTGTAATAATTTAACAATTTAATAATAATCCTATTTTAATGTTGATTTTAAGAATGTTTTTAGATAATTTGTACTTACGGTATTTTAATTTGTAAGCAATCTTGATTCTCAGTTTTGGGAAGAGGGCAGGGTAATAAGAATGACAATTCCCATAATTATTCCCACTACTGTGGTTCCAGTAGCAATAGATGCTCTGGGAGCAATTGCAAATGAACAACAAACTATCTGAATAAAATCGTGGTAGACAAGCTCATGATACTGCCATAACAAAGAGTGACACTACTTCAATGGACCACAATATCAAATGATACCTCACTGATTTCTAAATTCTTGGGTAGAATCCAAATCATAGATTGTCTAAAACTCCAGTCAATAACAGTGGTAGACTGTGAAACCAATATATAATAACAGGAGCAGCAACACCAGCCAAAATAGCAAACAACTCAAATTTACCTGCTAAAGTTGTTTCAAGACCAAAACGGGATGAAATGGAATGGGGAGAAAATATATATGCTACCTTGAGGCCTGAATCAATATGTAATACATAGGACTCCTGTTATCTGCTGGGATTTGGTTCAAGATTAACAATGAGTTTGAAAAATGCAAGAACAAAAGACTTGGGGACTGTTACCATGATACCTAGAAATTCATGGATGTTATCTTCACTGACTTGACACCACACAATGTTCTAGTAAGACTGGAAAAGTTATTCCTTTGAGACACTATTCCCAGAATTCCCAGATGGCCATGCTATCCAGGGATTCTAGCAGTTATGATCTAAAAATAACTCTTTCAAGTTCTGTTGAGGCATAATGTCAGTAAAAAAATGCTTTGGTTCCTTCCTCTTAGTAGCATCATTGGTCATCAAAGAAGGAGGCATTTTGAGGAGAAGAAGCCATATTCTTTCCTTGAGTCAGATGTAGGAGTATCTTTCTGTAGATGCTGATGAAGGCACATGGGAACATGTAACCACACTGAATTTGTATTGCACTAACTGGGCCTTAAAAGCAGCTTTGGTCAGATCTCAGGGTCTGAACCCTCTTTTCCAAACTATACACCAAGGGGGAAGATTCTCAGGGTGAGAACAATGCTTTGAAGTGTGTGTGTGTGTGTGTGTGTGTGTGCATGCATACATATATTTTAATGTATGTTTAATGTATGTATGTGCATGCATACATACATTTTAATGTATGTTACTGCCTCTGTTATAGACATCTTTGGAATGGCTGCTGTAGACTCTCCAGTGGCCTACCTAGTTCATCATTTTCTTTTCCCCCTCTCAAACAACACTAGGGACCATATTTACACGGCAGCAATTTGATTCTGAAATCTCAGGGCCAGGAGTGGTCTCGACCTGGCAATTCTAATAATGTTGGGTCAGAATACAACTTCCATTACACTGAGCCAGCATAGACAAATGGTTTGGGCTGATTGGTGCTGTAGTCCCACAACATAAGGAAAACCCTCCATTATATGGACCTCTTCTAAGATTAGTAAGAAGTGTTCCACTGTGTAAAATCTTTTATCTTATGGCACCCAATTTCTAGAAAGAAAACTGGATGGACCCAGTTCTATCAAAATGTAGTCACAATGTCATGACTATGATCTGACTCCCAGTCTGACCCCCTAAAACTCACCTTAAAAGCCAGCCAGCCATATCGCAGGATGGAGTTCTATGGGTGCTAATGAGTAGGATGCTGAAAGATCATGTGGGGTCCTGTGACATCCTGTTGCAACTCCTCAGTGCCCTGCCACTCACTGATAGGAGGGGGTTGGAAGTGTCATCCTTCACTACCCTGCTCACCAGCATAGCACAATTCTGCCCTTCAATAT